GTCTATTTGGGTAGGCAGCTGGAGTAAATGCCGGACTAGGGGTTTGTATTGGACTTTGAGGAGGAGTCTGGGTGAAATATTCTGGTACATTTGTCGATCGCATGGGTGACATGAGTGTTATTGATAAAGAAGAACTGGGCATAAGAGGCCCAGATATGGGACAGGGTACCAAGTCCATTTTTTGTTTGCTATGAGTGTTACCTTGAGATGTATTCATATTTGTATGAGTATTGTGTAAAAATAACTGTAAACCATAAGGAATACTATCTGGCTCAGGTAGTGGTGGTAATATACGGCCCCCCGTGCAAAAATTCACGGGTAAGAAAGTCAGGTAACGAATTAGCAGAGCCGGGAAGATGTTCAATAGAAAAATCAAAAGCGGATAATATCGCTTGCCAACGGGCAAATATTTGTTTTGAAACAAGATTTTGAACATCCTTTTGCATAATGTCCTTAGCAGCTTTACAATCAGCACGTATCAAGAAATGTTGATTCAAAATATCACTTTGAAACTTAGTAACACAGTGTATAATGGCAAGTAATTCTTTTTTGATAGTAGAATAATTCTTTTGTGTAGGATTCCATGCTTTAGAAGTAAAGCGAATTAATTGCTCAGTAGAATCACACTTTTGTTTTAGTATGCCACCGAGACCTAAGTCAGAGGCATCGCATTCAATGATTTTAAATGCAGTAGGATTGGGAAGTGTTAAACAAGGTAATTCTTTGGCTTTTTGCTTGAGTCGTTGAACAGCCAAAGTATGGATCTCAGTCCATGGTGGAGGATTCTTTTTTAACCTATCATATAAATGTTTGGCTTCTATGGCAAGATTTTGATAGAAATTACTAATATAATTAAGACATCCTAGAAATCGTTACAATTCGGTTTTGTCTACAATTTTATCAAGGAATTTATCAGCAAATAAAATTGATCTATCAATGGGGATAATTGTACCTTGGTTAGTATTATGTCCTAAAAATCGGATTTTGGTTTGGAATAAATTAAGTTTTTAGCAGAAACAACTAAACCAGCATGTTTGATAGTATTGATAAAAGTATGAAGATGTTTGAAATGTTGATCTAAAGAATCAGAATAGACTAGTACATCATCTATATAAACAATCATAAATTTATAATAAGGATTGAAGACATCATTCATAATTTTTTGAAATTCAGATGAAGCATTTTTAAGACCAAAAGGCATTACATTCCATTTATATTGTCCGAATGGTACATTAAAAGCAGTTTTATATTTGTCTTCTTCTTTTATCTGAATCTGCTAGAATCCTGATTTTAAATCAAAATTTGAAAAGATAACAGCATGTACTAATCGATCCAATAAATCTTTTTTGTTGGGAATAGGATATCTTATCCATTGTAAGACCTTATTGAGAGGTTTATAGTTGATGACTAATTGTGGGACTCCTTGTTCCTGTTCAGCTTTTTTATTGACATAAAAAGCAGAGCAACTCCATGGAGATAGGCTTGGATGGATAAGTTTCTTTTGCAGGAGATCGTTGATTTCCATATGACATGTTTGAAGTAATTCAGTATTCATTTGAATAGGACGAGCTTTTGTTGGGATTTTTGTTTAATTAAAATCGGGTTCATATGGTAATCCGACAATATGATGTTTTCTATTCCAGAAAGCGGTTTGTAATTCATGACATATATATATATATATATAACTTCATCACACGGTCACAGTGGTCGGGTAGTGTTTCAATTTTTATTTTTTTTCTACAAAACCAAATTACTTGAAATTTAGAGCGTATATATATCTTACTGAGGTGCATTTAATAAAAATATGAAAATAATAATTTGTGAAATATAAATTGATCAAAATACCCCCGTAAATTTATGAGGGTATATTGATCAATTTATATTTTTCGAATTATTGTTTATATATATTTTATTATGTGTGCCTCACTAAGATATAGACACGTTCCAAATTTCAGATCGTTCTAATCAGT